AAAGTTATTTAAATCTACTTTAGAGAATTAATCATTTAAAAAGTGCTAATGTCAACAGATTTCAGGTTATACTACAAAGTCACTGTAATCAAAAAAGCCTGATATTGGCACAAGAACAGGCATATAGACCAGTGGAAAAGAACAGAAAACCCAGAAATAGACCCAAGGCCATATGCTCAATTAATATTTGACAAAGATGGCAAGAGTATACAGTGGAGCAAGGACAGCCTCTTTAATAAGTGCTGTTGGGAAAATTAGACAGCTACATGTAAAAAAATGACACTAGACCATCAACTTACACCATACACAAGAATAAACTCAAAATGGATAAAAGGCTTAAATGTGACTCATGAATCCATAAGAATCCTAGAAGAAACTGTAGGCAACAAAATTTCAGACATCACACGCAGCAGAATTTTCACTGATACATCACCTAAGGCAATAGAAACAAAGGAGAAAATGAACACATGAGACTACATCAAACTCAAAATCTTCTGCAAAGTGAAAGATACAATCATCAAAACGGAAAGGCTACCCACTGTATGGGAGAGCAGAATTGCCAACCATATATCAGATAAGGGGTTAATTTCCAATATATATAGAGTGCTCATACAACTCAACAAAAGGAAGACAAAGAACCCAATTAAAAAATGGGCAGAGGAACTAAATACACACCTCTCCAAACAGGACATACAAATGGCCAAGAGACATATGAAGAAATGCTCAATGTCACTAATCATCAGAGAGATGCAAATTAAAACAATAATGAGGTATCACCTCACATCTGTTAGAATGGCCGCCATCAACAAATCATCAAACAACAAGTGTCGGCGAGGGTGTGGAGAAAAGGGGACTCTAGTACTCTGGTGGTGGGAATGCAGACTGGTGCAGCCACTATGGAAAACAATATGGTGTTACCTCAAAGAATTAAAAATTGAACTTCCATTTGACCCAGTGATCCCACTTCTAGGAATATACCCTAAGAAGCCTGAAACACCAATCAGAAAGTATATATGTACCCCCATCTTCGTAGCAGCAGTATTTACAATAGCTAAGATCTGGAAACAGCCCAAGTGTCCATCAGTAGACGAATGGATAAAAAAGCAGTGGTACATATACACAATGGAGTACTATGCAGCTGTAAGAAAGAAAGATCTCTTATCCTTTGAGACAACATGGAGGGACCTGGAAAGTATCATCCTAAGCCAAACAAGCCAAACAGAGAAAGACAAATATCACATGATCTCACTTATTTGTGGAATATAATGAACATAACAGTCCGAGGAACGGGGTAGTCCCAGAGATGTGGAAGTGGGGTACAGACTGACAATCCCAGAAGATGAGGTGGTGGGGGAGTGAGAAACCACAGAACTTATATGTATTCATGAACAATGGACATGGACAACAAAGCTGGGGACAGGGGTTATCAGTGGGGGGAAAAGGAGAAACATCTGTAACAAAAATAATTAATTAAATAAAAAAAAGAAAAGAAAAAAAGTGCTAATGTCCTCAGAATTAGTGATAATACTTTGATAAAGAAATACTGCTAGATTCTTGAGTACTGGTAACTGTTAGCTATCAGTCTGTGGTATAGGGATTCAAGCATGCGGCCCATGCATTGAATTGATAAACAAGAACTATATGCTCATAATTCATTGTTATGGGTGGAGAATTGAATGATTATTCATTAACAATTTATTGAATACTTACTCTAAAAAATTCTATGGGTTTAAAATGATTTTTTTATTTTAATTGAAACTAATGTTTATTGATAGTAAGACCAATTTTTCAGGAGCTGAATTTTGTTGACTAAGTTAAAACAGTGGAATAAAATTATTATGGTGGTTCTTATAATTCTGAAATGTCCTAGTCATGTCTGAATTTTAAAATAGCACCCTCTCATCTTTCATCCTTGTTTCTCTCTAATAAATAATGCCCCTCTTCCCTAGACTACAAATGATGAATACTGTGGTAGGTTCTCATCAGCTGTAATTCCCAACTTGTCTATGATAGGTTGGTGACCAGTATTAAAATATCAAATTTTTATCAGAACCTGAATTCAGGGGGAAAAAAATACTTACAGAGCTGAAAGAGCTAAAATAGTTTATTATACTTCACTAAGTAAAATGTAATTACTTAGGATATTAAGTAAATATCCATATAAACTTGAAGTCAGTAATAAAGTCCACCAAAACAGAGACATCTGGACACTTACACTTTTCTATTATATGGGAATTTTCATGCAATTCAAGAAAAAAATATATAATGTTCTTAAATGTTTCTGTAAGTCCTCTTATAGTGTCTATATTTTATTATCACAGGCCACTCTTTATTCCAGTTTAACAACTAAACTTTTTCCTTTCCACATACAAAACCTGCAGGGAATTTGATCATTTTGAACTTTTGATTCTAACAACCAAGCATTAGCCTAATCAAGAATGGAAATTGTAAAATGGTAACTCTGACCACTGGAAAATCTTACTCATAAAACGTGTCAGCAGCATGTTTTATTACAAAAAAGTAAGAAGCCAGGAGCTTCTTCAAACGTCAGAAAGTCAGAATGATACACTATCCATTTCATACTTTACAGAACTGCCTCTATTATAAACCATGTGTTATCTTCTCATCTCTGAAGCTTCCCAGACACATTCCTTAACCATGAATTCACAATCCTTTACTCTGAGTGAGACCTTGGGACCTGTAACCTTTAGAGTGATTCTGGGAAGTGGGGAAGAAGACAATAGCGTCCTCCTGGGGTTGCTGAGCGGCAGCATCCACAGAGCAGAACAATGCGCTAGTTCTCTTGGCCTCTGCATTCCCCGTTACTGTGTAGCGAGTCAGTGTTGGAAAATATTTGCTCACCTGGCATTCCAAGAAGTGAAAGGCATTTCAGCTGTTTTAAAGTTCTGTGCTTAAGTATATGAATGCTCTTCCTGCCAGTATGAGGAAACTGGCAGAATTAGATTGTGGCCTGAAATCCTTTTCAGAAATGCTGCCATCGTGTGGCACTTTGGAGACATGACCGGAAGAGTCCTGGGGTGGGTCATATGGGTCATCTCAGGATGGCTGGGCTCCAGCGAAATCTATTCCTATAACTCTCTAAGTTCATATTAAATCATTTCCGTGGGCACAGAGTAAACCATTGTGAATCCTGTGGAAATCTTGTTGTTTTTAGAATTTGTGAACTTCCCCCTACGAAATTGACAATATGACTAACTTTCGTGGGCAACGTGTTTAAAGAGAAAAACAACAACAGTTTTTAAAAGCAGAAATAAGAAGTCTGTTTTCCAACTTTATAACTTGTATGTCATTTTTTAGAGGTAGCTGCTATCTGAATTATTAATATGTGTACTTAGAACCCACAAATCAATTATACCAATTCATTTGGAATGTATCTAATGTAAAAGAGACATTTCACCCACGTACCAAATGTCCATAATAACCTATGGATTAGTTATACTACCAGCACTGCAAGAAATTATTTAATTCATATTTATATTAGAAGCAATACTTGGTAAATAGAAGCTGACATCTTAGATAGAACTAATAATAAATTGGGTTATTTATCTTTAATCACTCCGCACGAACAGTGCGATCTTCATTTCACAACTGAGAAAGCTAAATGAAGAGGTTACATACATAGTCTCAAAACAATATTAAATATTTTAAATGGATTCAGAGCTCTGCAACCTCTAATTTCTGTCCCAATACTCAAACTTCATCTGTGATTTACTTTCATTCAAACAACTTTTAAATACCCAGAAAGTTTTTTAAAAATATATACATTTTACATTTTCTTATTAAGTCTTCAGCTTCATATATCCTGATAGAAAAACTAGAACAAGGTGATTCAGAAATCTCATCCAACCCTTTAGAGGTATGAAGATTACACCAGTGATGTACACAATGGAAAGCTCTACATCTAGACTCTTTCCAATAACCCATTTCATCTAAAGACACTGCAAATCACGAGGACTGGCTCCTCATTTTTGTCACAGTTAACACATACAGTGGTTAACATGTGCATGTAATATATGCCAAACATTTTGCTTTCCACATACCAATTCACTTAAACCTCTCAGAAACCCCATGAGCTGGGTAACAGTATGTGCAGGTGACAGATGAGGAACCAGGTGTAGGTGGGCTAAGGTCACGCAGCTGTCTAGCAGCAGAGTGGGATTCAAAGCCTCTCTCTGGCTCCTGGAGCAGCACTCTCAAGAATCACCCTGCTCTCAGAAACCACTTTACTTCTGCAACATTCAAAGTAAATTGTCTCAGTTTTATATAGCAAGTTACCAGATTAACCACCTTCAAACAAGTCAAACAGTGTGGCAAAAATCCATGTCCTTGAAAGGTCATTGTTAAGTCCAATTTAATGGACATGAACGTGAATTTTCATGTTACTCGTGCCATTTGTCTAAATGACAAGCTGCTGTATACTTGAAATCACAAAACCAAGCTTGAGAAGTAAAGGATGGAGGGAGGATATCTGAGTTCTTTGTACACCTGAACAATAGCCTTAAGTAAGTATAATTGTGAGGCAAATTTAGTTGCATAAATTACTTTAATCTCTTTTTTAAATAGAAAGAAACAAACACCCATTCTATTTAATTTTATTTAGGACTGATTTCTATGAATATTTTTTCTTCTAATTCAGACATTATAATGTCTAGTCACTCCCCCCCTTTTTTAATGGGACTCCAAGGTGCCCTCTCATGATGCTGAATGCCATTCCCGTAAATGAAAATGCCAGTTAACGATATTGTAGATAAGTAATGTTTTAACTCTGGAGGGTGTGTGTGTGTGTGTGTGTGTGTGTGTGTGTGTGTGTTTTAACCACAAAACCAGAGGGGGAAGTGTGGGAGCAAGAGGCTTGGGCAATGGCAAAAAACCTCATGACACATCTCTCCACCCCCCTGTGCTGGGGGCGGGGAATGTCTGGAGCAGCATTTAAATTCTTGGAGGTCCTGGTTCTTAGCAGCAAGAAGAGGAGACAGGAGTGCAGCACCATCTGGGACTGGACTCTCTTCTCAAGCCAGCAGCGCCTTCTCAGCCAGCAGCAGACCAAGGTAAGCCTGCAGTTTGCTAGCTTGCTGCTGTCCTATGCAGTCAGTTTCTCTGCATGGGGAAGGTCAAGTTGTAAGGAAAAGAGTGCAACTGAAATGCTGTTTATCAGATTTAAATTGTTCCAGTCTTTGGAATAAGCAGGACAGATGCAATGCAGATGCCCTGCAGGAAAGGTGATCAGCTATTTTGGAAGCCAGTCAATATGAAACTTAAAAATCCTTCCCCTTCGTACTTAAAATAAATGACACTACTTTACTTCTTCTAATTAGAAAAAAAATTTAATTTCTATGTCCCTTTGGGATGATTGTACCTGTACCATTATAAATGGACAGATGATTGTGGAGGCATTTACAAGGAAAAGGATCTTCAGTGCTAATGTAAGCAAATGATAATGTTATTTTTAATTATTTGATTTATACTATTTTCAAGGAAGAAAAAACCTTTTCTGATTTTTGTTTTTTATTTCTCTGTATTTAGCTGATAAAATTTTCACCAAAAAACTGTATGACATTATGTTGACTTATTTTCGCAAATAAAAAAGCTATTGGCTGTTTTTAGTGTTTCCTTTTTGTTTCAAATTTCTAGAATAACTTAAATAACTAAGTTTAGAAATAGCTTTATTTCACCCAAGTAGCACCTTTTTAATAATTTAAGTTAAAAATCGTATTTGAAATGAATGCTGAAAAAAATGGAGAAAGCAAATTTCTTGCATAGTTTTATTTTCTCTCTTAGTGTTTTTCTTCCCTGAAAAGTAAAACTCCCACACTATCTTCTTCTTTTAATTGGTCTGTGTTTAGGGTTAGATAGCTGGCAATTAGATAATAATGGTGTAATCTCTGTAACTCAAAAGGTAAAAGTTGAATAAATACAGACTTGTAAATTTCCCCTCTCCCTTGCCTAATAGTGAAAGATGGAGAATCAAGGTGGAATTACAAATATTAACTCAAAAGACCATAATATTTAAAAGCCAAGTTTTCTCTAGGAAATAGAAAATATTCTACAGGAAATAAATTTTATTTGTGATTGTTTTGTAATGTGGTATCATAATAAGGTATTACTGCTTTAACCTGTGAAGAGGTCAAATATTCATTACTAAATATTTTGCAGGAAAAATCACTACCATGAGAATTGCAGTGATTTGCTTCTGCCTCTTGGGCATCACCTATGCCCTTCCAGTAAGTACAGCTGAATCTTTTTTTCAAAATCCTCAAAATCAATGAATTGTGTGCTCGCATGTGCTGGGAACACGTTCACATTTTAATCTTTCTTTATTTTCTCTGTTTCAAAGGTTAAACCTGCTGACTCCGGCAGTTCTGAGGAAAGGCAGGTGAGCATCTTTTAGTTTATCATATAGTTAAATTACTTATGCAACTGCTTCAGGAAGCACTACAAACGTATCTGCTGTAACTTTACTTATTCTCATAGTCAAGCCTGTTAATTTATAAGTAATTATTGACGAGCTGTTTTCAACCAAGGCCAGTACCAAGCACAGTATAATTTTTAACAAATACATGCTCCAAATACCAAACTTGATTTTTATATACTAAAATAATGTCCCATGCCATTATCATTTATATAAAATGAGTTCTATAAAGCTGCATGATTTTTTCCCCATGAGTCAACATACTGTTCTAGAAGTAGAAGATTCCACCCTTTGCTTTACTCAGCGGAAGGCGAAGTTTAAAATGGGCCTCTCATATTGGCAAGTTTTTATGACTGCAATATTCACAATTTGTCCTAAAATATTTGTTAAGAAGCCCATTATAAAAAGCAAGTCTGTTTATGCTGTTTGTATCTATTGTGCTTGTCAGCTGACTTTAAATCACATTTCTCTAACCAAACATTAGATCAAATCAAACCCTTTATTATAATTACTTGACCAGCACCATAGATGTACCTGCCTCTGCACAATAGGTGAAACTGTGCCAGCCAAATAACAAATGGGCATTGTCCCTCGGAGACTGGACAAAAAGACAGAGTTCAATTCAGATGAACAGAATAAAGGTCAATATAGAGTTGCCTGGAGTCACTGTAATTAGATTGCTTAATGAAGACACTAAGAGAGGTATTGTTGCATGTGGTTGGGTGTGCAAGTAGGTGTGTGTAGGTGTGTCTGTCTCCCAGTTGATTTAAGAACACAAGTATTGTTTGAATTATAACAATAAGCCAGAAAAATGAATATTTCAGAGAAGACAGAGGTCACACTATTTGAAACAAGAATTAATATCTTTTTAATTTAAAAAAAGGGGGCACATGAAGCCATGGTTATTTAGGAGATCAGTGAAGAGCTCAACCTTCTAGAATCGGAGATATTTAGAACGAGTAGGAATATGGGAGGTCTGCAGTGAGACACCTCCAAAGATGAACACTGCTTATCTGTGAGTGTTAGGGTTACTGGGTGGATTTTAGTCTGTTTATTTTACTTAGCTTTATTTTCTACATGTTTCTTTTTAAATTATAAATTTAACCTTTAAGGAGATACATTCTCCCTAAACCTGTGCGACATGTCTCATCAGAAAATACACACACATATACACACACGTAAATTAAAACATATTTCTGTGTAATACTTACATAAATATTTTTTTTTAAAAAAGAGAAAATTTTGAACTCATCTAGACCAGTAGTTTTTCATACTTTTTAAGGCAAGGAACCCCTTCTTTCAGCAAAAACTTTCAGAGAAGCCCAACCTGAGGCTGCTCTGGTTGCAGGCAGCCGGGGGGCAAGGCGAAGTGATGCCGGTCTCCCCACTCCTCTCCCCGAAACCCCAACCACCTTGGTGGCTACAGAGGGAACTCCATGGAACCCTCAGGGTTCTCGTTCTCAATGACAGGGGTGTGAAGTGATTGCCACAGCCTGTCAGATGACATGTGTTCAGAGCAATCCCCACTCCTCTGTACCAGCATGTTGTCATTATTGTCCAAAAAAATAACTTGGCTAAAGGACAGGACATTCCATTCGTTCTTTGGCACCTGAGAGCAATAGAACTTCGGTGAGATGATGTTGATACTTTATTTCTGCACTGTCCACTAAGATAGCCACTAGACTCATGGGGCTGTTAAACATTCAAAATGTAGCTAGTTTGAGAAACTAAAATTTCTCATTTATTTCATTGTAATTAAATTTAAATAGTCACATATTAGAGGAGGCCATGAAGACCAACGCTAATTAAGGGCACCTCTGCTTTAGTTGTGCTTTATCTGAGGGGAAACGTCAGCTGGCAAACAGCGCAGGAAAGCACAGTGTTGAGATCAGCGTGAAGCCCTGGCCAGTTTGGCTCAGCGGTTGGAGCGTCCGCCTGCGGTCCAGAGAGACCGGGGTTTGGTTCCGCTAAGGGCATGTACCTCGGTTGCAGTTTGTCCCCAGCCCTGGTTGGGCCCTGCGGGTGGCAACCACTCAATGTGTCCCTTTCAAGTTGATGTTTCTCTCCCTCTCTCCCTCTTCCTCTCTCTCCCTCCCACTCTATCTGAACAAAAAAATGGGAAAATGTCCTCAGGTAAGGATAAAAAAAAAGATCAGTTTGAAGAGCCAATGTGCCTGGCTTTGAACCCTGGCTCTTAACGTCTCTGTGGCTTAGTTTCTCCTGATCTGCAAAATGGAAGCAATAGTATATCTACCTAATAGGGGAATTAAGTAATAAATAAATACATGTAAATCACTTTGAAAAGGTGCCTGGCCCACAGGAAGTGCTGTGTAAGAGTTTATTAAAAGAATCTGCAAGAAAAAAATAAGTTAGAAAAGGGGTATCTAAAGCTCTGGTTGAATATATACATGCATATTATGCTAATTCATCAGTACTGGTGCAGTGTAATGCTTTTTCAGCTTATCACTTAGCGATCCCTATGTTTCCTTTTTTTAAAAAAAATGATGACAATCATGAAATTTGTTTTGTAGCTTTACAACAAATACCCAGATGCTGTAGCCACATGGCTAAAGCCTGACCCATCTCAGAAGCAGAATCTCCTAGCACCACAGGTATTTTGAACTTTAATTACTTTCAAAAATTATATTCCTTGCAATTAAAGAACAACAACAACAACAACAAAGTAGCCACCAACCAGGCCACTGGGGCAGGTTAAGTAGATCCTTCATGCCTGCTGGCAAATGCGAACTTAGGACAGCAATTGATCTGACATGTTGGCTCTTTCCGTTTTAAGTCAGTCACCAACAAGCCCGAAAAATAAGACCTGCTTTGGCTGGAAAAGGCTAACTTTTGAATTAAAAAATGTTAAGCGTGTGTGATATACACTGATATGTGCCTTTCCTTCTTCAGATTACTGTATCCTCTGAAGAAAGTGACGACTTAAAGCAAGAGGTGAGCTATCACTTTGAGTCAAAGGTCCACATGCCTTGGAGACACAAAGAAGCCACTCTTTCCCCTAATGACATTACCTGGGTTCGATACTGACACAATTCCATGCACAGATTTTCCAGTAAATTGGCAGTCTAAAACTTGCTCAGAAAGAAAACAGGGTTTACTAAATGCCAGAAGTCCTAGATTTCCTCAGATAAAGGTTAGTGTGGCAGGAAATGTTTACTAATTGTCTATTATTTGAACTACTTACTCTCTTACAATTGATTTCAGGTATTTTATAGATGTCTTATCTAATGTCTGATAAGCATCTAATTGATACCTATCAAACTCAAGATTTTGCCTTTAGGAATGTTTCCGTTCCTAACATAATGGTTTATTTGATTACTATTATTAGGGCTGTTAATTAAGATTTCTTATTAGAACTATTAATATTAGAACTTTCTATTAGGACTATTCATAGATTTGCTAAGCAAAGAAATAAGTTAAATTTGCTTTCCTTAAGATTCTGTTTGAATATGCTAAGAATCACTAGCAAGAAAAGTTAGATAAATGACCCAGTATATTTGCTCATTGGAAGTTTAATAGACATTGTTAATTCAATTGACAGATCTGAGCTGCACTTTATACACATGCATAACAAAGTCACCTTTTGATTATCCATGCTGATAGGGAGATGGTTTCAGGTTTCAGTGCATGCATTATTATATGGATATTATATGGAGATGGATATTATATGGAGAATTCTGATCTCAGAATTCTCATTTCTAATACCACAGCTATGTATTGCATTATTGAATTTGGCATATTAAATGTCTAATGTGAACAAGAAAAAATTATTTTATCAATATAAATATTATACTCACATATTTGACTTGAAAATAGGAAAATAATTTTTATGGGAAAGCAAGAAAAATACTTCAATTATTATTCCATTGATCTTTGTGTTAAAAAATAAATCGGAAGATGCTCACTTTAGCTCTGAAAAGCTATTGAGCACTTCATTATGGATGCAAAGATCCTGAAACTAAATAAAAGAAAGATAGTAAAAGACTAATGCACTATAAAGGCTAAGGGAAAATTAAAATGCTTACACTAATTTTTCTGGCTCTCTCGATTTTTAGACCCTCCCAAGTCAGTCCAATGAAAGCCATGACCACACAGACGATGTGGATGATGACGATGACGAAGACCACGTGAATAGCCAGGACTCCATGGACTCAAATGACTCAGATGACGCTGATCACACTGATGACCCTGACAATTCTGATGAGTCTCACCACTCTGATGAATCTGATGAACTGGTCACTGATTTTCCCACTGACTTCCCCACTGACTTTCCCGGAACCCCTGTTGTCACTCCAGCTGTCCCCACAAGGGACATATATGATGGCAGAGGTGATAGTGTGGCTTATGGATTGAGGTCAAAATCTAAGAAGTTCCACAGATCTGTAGTCCAGGTAAATTCTTTAACAGACACATCTGATGGTTATAATTAGAGCCCAATTCTAGGAACCAGACCATTGACTATAAAACCTCTTTACCTTGGTAATTTTTTCGTTTAATTTTATGCAATTTCTCTCTAATTTTGTCTCTCAATCACAATGCTATTTATTCCCAAATCCTGGCTGTAGAGCATTTATTCTATTCACTTTCACTATATATGTGTGTGCGTGTTTGTGTGTGTGTGTATTTAATATATATATATATATGCATATTAGAAGGAGATTTTGGAAAACAGTGATTATTTTCACAATACAATGGTCATATTTTGAAGTTAAATACCTAAGAGGAATGGTAGAGTTACAAATTATACTGAATCTATAGTCAAAGGATCTGGATTTGATATATAGCCTGGCCATTTATCATTCACTTTACTTTTTAGCTTTCTTTTTTTTTTTTTTCTTTATTGATTTTAGAGAGAGAGGAAGGGAGAGGGAGAAATAGAAACATCGATGAGAGAGAACATCGATTGGCTGCCTCCTGCATGGCCCCCACTGGGGGTCAGGTGCCCTGACCGGGAATCGAACTGGCGACCTCTTGGTGCATGGGTCGACGCTCAGCCACTGAGCCACACTGGCCAGGCTACTTTTTAGCTTTCAATTCACTTTTTCTTTATGTAAAACAGAGATAATAGTCATACCTCATAAGTTTCATCACATATATAACTGACGTACCTATTACACCAAAGGAGATGACACATGAAAGGGCTTGGTGAAATACAAAGCATCATGCTAGTATTACTTTTTACTTCAGCCAAATTTAGACATTTCTCAGTATAAATTGGCTTAAAAGTTTCAGAACAGAAAAGAATTACAATGTTCCCATTCCCGGTTGTCATTTAATTCTTCTTTTATTTGTACTGTGATGCAGTATCCTGATGCTACAGAGGAGGACCTTACGTCACACATGGAAAGCGATGAGGTGGATGATGCACACAAGGCTGTCCTTGTTGCCCAGGGCCTGCCCGTGGCTTCTGATTGGGACAGCCGTGGGAAAGACAGCCAGGAAACAACTCTACTGGATGACCACAGTGTGGAAACCCACAGCTACGAGCATTCCAAAGAATATAAGCTGAAGGCAATTGATGAGAGCAATGAGCCTTCTGATGGTATTGATAGTCGGGAAGATTCCAAAGTCAGCCATGAAGACAAGCGAGTCTTAGACCCTAAGAGTGAGGAACAAGATAAACACCTGAAATTCCGCATTTCTCATGAATTAGAAAGTGCATCATCTGAGGTCAATTAAAAAAAGAAAAACAAAATTTCTTGCTTTTAGTTAAAAGGAAGAAAATACGTTAAAGTGAGGTGGAGAGAATATGAAATGCTTATTTCTCAGCTTTCTTGGTGAATGTATATGTATGTGGATCTGGAAATAGATAATGTTTTTATCAATAGTTTAGTGTGTGGCTTCATGTAACAACTTTATAAACTAAAAGCTTCAGGGTTTAGTCTATGTTCTTTCCATATAAGAAATGCAAACTAACACTGTTTTTAATGTTTGCTATTCTTTTATGAATGGAAATTTATGTAGAAGCAAACAAAATACTTTTTGCAGAAGTAACAAAATACTTGTACACGATTATAGGAAAGAATATAAAGTTTTGTCACTATAATCTTTTGTTTCTCAAATTGTACATTTTGTTGTGATTATTTTTGTTTGTGTGAATAAATCTTTTATCACAAATATAATGAGAGTTTGGTGGTATCAATTGCTCTTCTCTTTATTTGGTTTCCCACAGTTGCCCGATAATTAACAGATGTAGTCATCTTAATGAATGTGCTGGACTCAGTAGAGAGCAATCTAGGTATTGCTGCATCAACTGCACTGTTTCTGGCTGAGCTAAGTTCCTACCCAAGGAAACAAGTCAAGTAGGAGTGGATATTCAGCCAGAAATTCTCCAACCATGCAGGGCCCTGTAGGCTGCTTCCACCCAGTGAGAACACCTTTTAATTTTTACGAAGCTGATATAAAAACAAACTATGAATTTTATTGTTTCTCATCACTCTCCATTAATTTGTTCAGTAAATTTATTGCTTTTGTGTCCTTCATTGAAAACTTTGACAGGTTCCATAGCTATTTTGACCACTTGTGGAAAATAAATAGTCTCTTATAATGGAAAAAAAATGTAATGAAGTTTCAGGTAAAAATCAAAATTTTCAATTTCATTCAAAATAAAAAGTTTTGGAAACCTGAAGTAGAGCATGCATCTTTATTTCTTTGTCTTGCCCTTTGCTCTTTTTAAAACTACATATTCAATTTTAAAATTTTTCTATTAAACAAGTCTTGGGACAAAAAGGGAAAATTGTAATGTGTAATTTCTAAAAATGAACCATATTGAAAACATAAAATCAATAGAGTGATCACAGAAAATCCATAGCCTTAATTCTTGCAGCAAAATAATACTAATAATAATGAAAATCAATAAACTGAGTTCCCATCTTAAAATTAGAAATGACCAACAAAGTAAAGCAAAAGTATAAAGAAGGAAGAATAAAGGTGAAAGCAAAAAGGATAAAGTAGAGAACAGAAAAAAAATAGCAAAAACTACTAAATCAAAATGCTGATAATTTGTAAACAAACAAAAAAAGAAAGAAATTAACAAAATAGCCCTGGCAGGTTTGGCTCAGCAGTTAGAGCATCAGCCTGTGGATCAATGAGTCTTGGGTTTGATTCTGGTCAAAGGCATATACCTTGGTTGCAATTCGTCCCCAGCCATGACTGGGGTAGTGCAGGAGGCAGCCAATGTGTCCCTCTCACATTGATGTTTCTCTCTCTCTCTCTCTCTCTCTCTCTCTCTCTCTCTCTCTCTCTTCCTCTCTCTCCCTCCCATTCTATCTAAACAAAACAAAAAAATAAAAAAAGAAATCAACAAAATAGTTAAGCCACTAGCTAGCACAATAAAGTGAAAAAAACAGAAGACACAAATAAAAAATAAAAACTAGGAGATAACCAATGAAACTGAGGGAATTTTAAAAATTAAAAAGACTACTTTGCACAATAAAATACAAAGCTAATAAAAAATCTAAGTGAATTGGATTACTTTCTAGGAAAATACAATTTACCAAAATTGACCTTGCTACACATGAAAGCATAGACATATTTCTTAAAAGAAAGATAAAATATGATCAAAGAAATAACTATAAAAACTAGACACAAATGATTTTACAGCAGAATCCTCTCAAACGTCCAAAGACCAGATAATCCCCATACCAATTAAATTGTAGCAGAGAAGAAAAACTGTCAAATGATCTTCATGAAACAAGTGAAATTTTGACACTCAAACCTAGTAAATATTGCAAACACACAAAAAAAACTATAAAGCAAAGATTCCAAAATGGCAGTGGAGTGAATGGAAGTTACGCAGACCCTCTTCCAGGAACAAACTGGAATTACAACTAAAATAAAGACAAATTGTCGGGAAAAAGCAACAGAAAAGCAGCTGGAGAGGACCCATATAACCAGGGACAGAAAAAAAGGACACTGAATCGAGCCTGGTAGGATCTCTGGAGGCACAAGAGGTCAGGCTGGGAGCCCATGAACAGCAGCTGTTTTAGCTGTGAGCAGCTCCTTCAGGATTAAAATCCTAAACTGGCTCCTCAGTGCACAGGGCCAAGGCAGAGCACTAAATTAGCTACAGCCACTCACCTTGGGCTCTGGCAGAGACAGGGCAGACTGGTCTGAAACTGTGTGAAGAAACTTGGGATTCGGAGGGCACTGGGAGTTTCTTGCTGAATCACTCCCTCACAGGTCATAGACATCTTACTCAAAGAGCCCCTTCCCAGAGCCCCAGGGAGAAGCAACAGCCCCTCCCTCAGAAATTTAACACCACCCACCTGGGCCAGAGAAATGCAAATTGAGGCTCATTAACAGCCAGCATCTGCTCCACCCTCTGGGAATCCTCTTACCTTGAACACCTAAGGGACTTTTTACTCAGCTGAATGCTATGACCCAAGGTTCATCAAGTAACTGAGTTTAATGGCCTCCAGGCAAAAATTAGAGGATAACTGAACTTTCTGGGCCTGCAAATCTACCCAGGAAAGTAAGACTTGAGAATGGTGTTTAATGTGGGTTCTGCCACACTCATCCAAAACCAGTAGAGGGAGCCACAAACAACAGACCACCAACACCAACAGGAAAAATTTGGCAGGCTCCAAAACCAACTGAGATAGCAAAAATGGTGAAACAAAGAAACAAACCCCAAATGAAAAAAATAAGAGAACTCTACTGAAGATGGGATAAATGAAATGCAGTTAAGCAAGTTATCAGAGGTAGAGTTCAGAGCGATGATAATGTGGAAGCTCAACAGCATGAGTAAAGAGCTTAACACCAAGAGTAGAGATATAGAAACATTGAAAACCAATCTATTGGAAATGAAGAAAGACATAGCAGAAATAAAGAACTCATTGGAAGGAATAACCAGCAGTGTAGAAGAAGCTGAGAACTGATTCAGTAAATTAGAAGACAGGGTAAAAAAATATCAACCAAAAAGAAAAAAAAAGAAAAAAGAAAAAACAGGAAGACAGCCTAAGAGAACTGTGGGACCACTGGAAACATAATGTAACAACACTCACATCATAGGAGTTCCAGAAGAAGAAGAAAATGACCAAGGATTGATTAGAGAATATATTTGAAGAAATAGTGACAGAAAACTCTCTAACTTGGTGAAGGAAAAAAGGCATTCAAGTTCAAGAAGCACAGAGAGTCCCAAGTAAGAAGAACCCAAACAGGCCCACACCAAGACACATAGTAATTAAAATGCCAAAAATTAAAAACAAAGAGAGAATCCTAAAGGCAGCAAGAGATAAGTAACAGGTTGCCTACAAAGGAAACCCCATAAGGCTATAAGCTGACTTCTCAAAAGAAACACTACAGGCCAGAAGGGAGTGGCATGAAGTAATCAAGGTCATGAAAAACAAGAATCCAAATCCAAGACTACTCTATCCAGCAAGGCTATCATTCAAAATAGAAAGTCAAATAAAGCGCTTCCCAGACAAAAAAAAAAAAAAAGACTAAGGGAATATATTAACACTAAAGCAGCACTGCAAGAAATGTTAAAAAGACTGCTATAATTAGTAGAAGAAATACAAAAAAATATATAACTACAATAAACAAAAATGGCAATAAATAAGTACATATCAATAATAACCTTAAATATAAATGAATTGAATGTTCCAATCAAAAACATAGAGTAGGGCATAGGTAAACACGATATCACGTCCTCCCACAACCACATCAAAGTTACAACTGAACTACAGAACAACCATCATTCAAAACCGCCTGAAATCAAGCTGAATTGAAGTCCTACAACTACGAAATTAAAGCAGCAGCCACATCCAGACTGGTAGGAGGGGCGGCAGCGCGAAGGGCAGCTGCGGTGGCGGTGCGACGGCTGGTCCCACACCCAAGTGTGGCGGATAAAAATCAGGAGGCTCCCGTGGCTGGGAAGGTCCTTCCTGAGGACTGAGGGGTCCCCATCCCACACCAGGTGCCCCACTCAGGGTTCCAATGCCAGGAAGAGAAGTCCCCATAACTTCTGGCTGGAAAAACCAGCGGGAACTGAGGCTCAGGGAAGCTGACGCGGCTAAAGACCCAGGCAGATCCTCTGAAAGGGCCCGCACACGGACTTATCAGACTCTCTCCCTCTAAGCTTGGAGGGGAGGCAGCTCCAGGGGCACCAGAGACACACAGGGAAGAACTGAGCTGTTTGGCAACTGGAGCAAGGGCTGGAAAGGGGGCTGTCTCGGTGACAAACGTGCTGTAAGAGGCCTTTGTTCCTTTGGTGAGCCCTTCCCTGGGGCGGCAGACAGCTGCCATATCTGAGACTCCAGCAACCTGGCTCACACTGGTAGCCCCACCCTGCTGACTCCCTGAGGCCCCGCCCTGCCCCACCCAACTTTCAAGCCCACCCAAGCTGTTGCCACTTGCTTAACCATAGGATTGGCCTGTCTTGGATCCTGCTTCAGGTTTTTCCTAAATTCTTTCAAACAAGCAGCATCTGGTCTCAGCTCGCCCCATACCTCTCATTAAGTAATACACTGAAACAAACACAGGGAGGCAGCCAAAATGAGGAGACAAAGAAACAGCTCCCAAATGAAAGAACAGAACAAAACCCCAATAAAAGAACTAAGTGAAATGGAGATAAGCAACCTAACAGATACTGAGTTCAAAATACTGCTTATAAGGATGCTCAGTGAACTTAGTGAGAACCTCAGTGAACTTAGGGAGGGCCTCAAGAGCATAAAAAAGGACCAGTTAGAAATCATGGATACACAGTTAGAATTTAAGGAGGCATTAACTGAAATAAAGAATAATTTACACAGCTTCAATAATAGAACATGTAAATCCAAGGAGCAAACCATCGATTTGGAATATAAGGAAGCAAAAAATGCCCAATCAGAACCGCAAAAAGAAAAAAGAATCCAAAAAAATGAGGATAGTGTAAGGAGCCTCTGGGACAACTTCAAGCGTGCCAACATTCGCATCTTGGGGGTGCCAGAAGGAGAAGAGAGAGAACAAGAAATCGAAAATCTGTTTGAAACAATAATGGCAGAAAACTTCCCTAACTTGGTGAAGGAAACAGACATAC